AGTGACATAGTTGCATATGATTCTGTAGTACCTTCAGCCATAGTTGATTCTGATTCCAATTTCTTGGTTTCTTGATCTTTGGTCATGTCACACAGTATGTTCTGTCTATTAGTCAATATCTTCCAAAAACCTGTTTATCAGGCAAGCTCTAGATAAGAGGCATTCAAATCTAAGCTCCCTAATCTTATTCCTAAATAAAAAAAACTGATTAGTACTGTGTTCCTAGTTCATAAGATCTTACCTTGAAATAGTGTATTGCTTCATATGTCTCAGAATTTGTTTTTCTCTTCCTTGGCAGTCACCAAATCACCACATCATTATCTTCAGGTCTCAGCTTGGTCACCAAATGGAGCAGGGTACAATGGGATGCCTCATCAAAGTAGGCAAGTTGGTTGATATGGTGAGAGCACAAGAAAGGTGAAAAATCACCATATAGTAAGGGTATGGTCAAGTAGTAAGTGTAGAGATAGATATGTTCTAACAGATGCCTAAGCTTGCAAGGAGTAATAGTACTAAAGAGCCCTGTACTAACACAGGCAGCTCTAATAAGGAACAGTAGCACATTTCATGAACAAGAAATCTTCATATTCTCTAACTAATAGCTGAACTGGTAGTAAGGAACAAGTGTATAGAAAAGAGCAATGGTGCATGAAGGTAATAAGCAAGATGCAGGGGCTACAGGTGGTTTATATAGCTCAAGGATAGTAGCTTTGGGGTGGTTTGTGCCTCAGACCGGAACAACCTTTGTCCTAATGAGGTACCGGAATCCCCACTACAACATATGCAGGATATCTATATAGACAAGCAGTAGTAATACAGAAGCTTGCACATTCAAGAATCTATAATGCTTTACTAATAATAGAGAAGCTACAACAACATACAAAAAACCACTTTGATAGCTTTATGTCTTGAAGTTCAAGACCCCTGAGAGGGGGAATAGTGTTACAAATATAGATCTAGACCAATCAAGCATCAAACAATGTCAGATGTTCAGAGGTATTCACATGACCCCAACTCTGAACATATAAAAATCACACAATTTGTATGGATCATGGGAACTTCAGTATTCAGTCTTCTAGTTAGAGAATCTCTATGTTCTACACACAACTTCCTCCCATCAGTTGCAGGCATTGTATACACTTAGCTCTTTCATACCCCTAATCCTGCAAAAACCTACATGACCTATGACTGGTTCTCCTAACATCCTGTCATCTCTTGTACAATATTTTGTAGGATCTGAGATATAATGACAAGACTGCAGCTAGAGAGCTTGTTTATATAATTCAGAAGCTCTGTCTTCTGTATATCAGAGAGCTTTTTCTTATATCAGAAGGCTGCTTCATTCTGAGTAAGTTGCAAGTCTTTATACTGTCAGCACAGGGTCTCTTGGTTAACTGAGTACTTTCTTACAGTTGCAGCATAATTTGGCTCCTTCTGCAATTCAAGATCTTCAATTATGAGCTTAATTGCTTTGTTGTTGACCATGTTGTTGCATATTGAATGTTGAATGTTGGAGCAATTTGGTGGTGGAAGATTTGGCTTGTTTAGTGGTGTGGCTCGTTTAGTGGTGAACTACCTTATCCATGATTAGGACAGATTTTGGTTCTGGCCGCTGCCCCACTGACTTCCAGAAAATCCACACAGTGTTGTCACGTGAACACTAATAATCCTTTACAACACTCTTTACATTTGCTTCCACCACATATCCCCGGTTGCTCATCTGTACACCATCGTCTGCCCGTGGTGGGAAAAGTTCAGGGCAAAGGGAGGACAGTATGCACGCTGCCACGAAGTAAGCATTTCTTCATGTCTCCCACATCTATCAGCCAAGTAACTTACAGCTGCCTAGAGGCCTTCCAAAGATGTTCTCAGGGATTCTTCGAAGACCTCCTCGGTGGGTTCAAGGCCTTTCTCAATATACATCGTGCTAATGGCCGCGTGGGTCCCGCCGTTTTTTTCACGCCACGCTTTAATGGTCGACGGGAACTTTCCAGCATTCGGCTGGAGCTGGAATTTGTGGTATTCCTTGCCGTCCTCGCGCTTGATGATTCCATCATAGACTCAGCGCACGCCGTATTTCAACAAGTCCGCAGGCTTCTTTGGCCAAACGGTCGCACCGCGGGTAACAGTTGGAGCGAAAAACTTCCGAAGGTCTGCTGGACGACCGATGATTGTTTTTCCGGTCTCATAGATGCTCTTCCAAAATTTGCCGATGATGAACAAGGTTCAGGGTTAACGAAAGAAATAGTAAAAGCGTATGTTGGATCAATTGGAAGTGATATATTAAGCGTTTAATATGGAAGGAAGTTGGAAGTTCGAAGGAGGATGGTTTGATGGAACTGGATTCTCGTAAAATCCAAAGCTCTTTATATGTTCAATCAGGTGTCCTCCAACTCCAGGAGCTTTTCGACATCAGACTTGTTGCCGTCGGGGTATAAAAATAGATCCTGCCCTTCCCAATTGCCGGGAATCTGACTGAGCAATGCTTCATCGCAAGTCGACGCAACCGCTGGTCAACGTTGTCCTATTCATGCCACGAGATAAAACAAAGGAATCATATCACCCTAAACTCCGGGGTTATTTGGAATTCGGGCATGCAGTTCGATCACCGCCTACCAGGGCGATTCTCCAATGGCGTAGCAGGAAGCGCCCTCAGCGACTGGATTTCGAAGTACTGATGAGACAGAATCGCTCCATTGGAGTTGATTCTGGTCAATTTCGGGTGGCCATGGCATGTGATGCCCATTGTCTGGACGCAATGAAATAGTACCAGGCAGGTAGCTGGGCGGCGCCAAACGTCACATACCCCTTGAGGTGATATTCTGGGTCAACGCATTGGTTGGAGTACATAAAGTACTCCATACTGGTAAATAGAAATCTGAAAGATGGAGGACGAATCACTGTCCGACAAAGTTGGCGCGGAGAAGCGGGTTTCGAAGCGCCCACAGAACGGCCCGCCGACAGCTGGCACGGCGATTCCCAAAAACAGTGGACGTTTGAGGCTGGATGCCTGGGGTGGTGACCAAGCTGGCAGCGCTGTTTCTCCAGCGACCTAAGAATCACCAACCCACCCTTCTTCGCCAACTCAGCTCCACGCGTCGCTTTTTCTTTCCTGCCTCTCGCTGCGGGACATCGTTAAAGCGCTTCGAAATCTGTTCCCCCATACTTGCGTGATACGCAACCTTGCCTGGGCGAAGAACCCTGTCAATCGGAACTCCTGGCGGTTCCCTCGCGCTGCCAAGTCCTTTCAGAGCTCTTTTTTTAGATTCTCTGCTCTCATGCGAGCAGCCACTAACACCTCCCACCGGATCATGGAGCAGTTGATGTAGACCAGACGCTCCCAATGCATCAAACAAGCCTGCGCACTTGTTTCTCCTTGCCTCTCAAACTGAGAAAGCGTACCTCGTTTGTTCGGTCCGTCTCCCGAACAATGGCTGCGCGTGAGTCCTGCACAATACAGTCGCGCTTTGCTGATGACTTGAACTTGATCTAACACCAGATACTTTTCATCGAGGCACCCCAACAAACGAACACCTTTTTTCGTACACGTCAGGACGATTCTTGTTTAACGAGGACCGCCGGCGCCAGGAACGCTATGTCGAGTTCGACGTCGAAGCCTTCAAGGAACTGGCCGCACAGGGCATTGAGCCTGGCCATGGCAAGGTCGCACATATCGCAAAGTTTGCTGAAGGCGGGTTCAACCGTGTTTTCCTTCTCACGATGGACGACGGTTTTCAGGCAATCGCCAAAATTCCATATAAAATTGCCCTTCCCAAACGCCATGCGACCGCGAGCGAGGCTGCTACATTAGAGTTCTTACGCCTGAAGGGTATTCCAGTGCCAAAACTTTACAGCTACTCTGCGTCGGTGGATAATCCAGCTGGAGTCGAATACATCATTATGGAAAAAGTCAATGGTGTACCAATTGAAACGAGGTGGTTATCGATGACAAAGCGAGAGAGGCATACGCTGGCTTCCAGTTTCGTGAGATTGAGAAAAAGCTCTGGGAAGGTTTCGGGAAAACTGGCGCCGAGCCCTTTGTCCGTCTGTGGATGTTCAGCGAAACTCGTCCATCCTCATCAAGAACGGCCGAATAATACGACCGACGCGAAAAGCACCAATGCGCGCCGGCCCTAGATGGTCATTTTCCCGCGCTCTCCCAAAACGGAAAATCGCACGAACTCCGACACTCTATGTATGTAAATAGTAGTATATACACGCATCATGGCATTTGTATATACTGGCGTATACATCCTAAGTTTTACGCAAGGCTAGTTGTTGTCTAATCGACTTCCTCATGGTCCTGGAAGGGCCAGCCCTTATGTAACAAATTGATATCCTCCTCATCACCCTTACCTCCCATCATCTCCCCTAAAAGCTCATCTTTGAGCCGCTTTGTTGTCTTGACAGCATCTGCATATCCCTCATTGCTGACCCAGCCATCATCATTCACTCCAATCTTGTCCCGCCAGAGATTCACGACAGCGTTCATAGCAAACATATTTCCTCATTTTTATGAAATTCTTCCAAATCGCCCGCCTCAAAGTTAACAGGGCAATTGAGCCCTTTTGTATTTGGGAGAAGGGACCAATACTCAGTCATTCTGACCAGCGCACCCATCAATGTAATCAAATTCCCACTCCACGTCCGGCCTGCCCTATCAATGAGATGTTTTCGAGGGTGTAGAAGGGGGTCACACAGGGCCTTAAGATGGGTCTTATTGAATACTCCATTGCAAACGCGATAGTAGTGATAGAGTGTCTGCCGACGATACAACTCATCAGCCTCAGCCTTCTCGTCGGGAGGCAGTGAGTCGTAGTTGGACGGGAGTTGTGGTTCCTTCAGGTCTGGCGACTCATTTATCTCTGGGTTTTCGAAAGAGCGGGGATAACCAGCCACGAGAAGGAGTGGCTCTATTGTTGTATGCTGCCAGTCGATGATGCAGGAGATTGCGCCAGTTTTAGATGATATAAAAATGTTATTGGGGTTTAGATCTATAAGTCAAGAATTGAGTAAAATAAATATGTAACAAACGGGAAGGTTGAGTATTGGCATACCTGGATGACGGAGAGTCGGTTGGTTTAGTGGGTGCCCGTTATTTTTCGGGAGGAGGAAAGGAACCAGTGCCAGATACTTCTCTAAAAGTGCGATGTATTGCTTTGGATCGTGTTTCCCAGGAAAGGGTCCATTATGTGGGAAATCTAGCTCGAGTGGCTTCCCGTACCGGCGAGTCGATTCGATTTCCCTCTCGCCGATTGCGCAGAGATAGGTTTTCCAATCCCTCCCTAAGTATGTAGATATTAGCTTGCTTGGACATTTTCAAGAATTTTAAAAGAAAGGCGTACATGGCCCCCTATATATGTCAAGTTCAGCTCTCTTCCCATATGAGAACATGTAATCTGCAATAGGGCCAATGCAGAAGCTCTCTGAAGTGCTATCTGACTTGCAACCACTGGAGTACAGAGGTGCCTGAAGATCCAGCGGCAAGTCATGCTTAAAGTAGATGCTGCCAATTGAATGGAATGGAAGATCAAACAAGCGTGAGCTTGCCCCATCCATCGTCAATTCCACGTTCGGTGTAGTGGCACATCACCAGCGTACGTCCTTTGGTTTTGTTGTGAAATCTGTGATATCTAGCGGAAGTAGGGGCATCAAGCGTCAAAAGCACCGCTATACCAGACACAGAGCGTAGTACGAATATCACTATATTGGTATCCTTGCTAACGCTATCTCTGCGTTGCTATCTCCTCTCTTATATTCTATAAAGGTCTGCGGGATAGGTACAAGCCATTGCACTCTCCAACGCCGAAGTAGCACAATGGAACAGAGACATTCTGCTGAAATTCAAGGCAGCCTTGGAAAGCAATCCAGCAGTGGATCTAATATCAATATTCTCTGACTCCTACCATCGTGAGCATCGAAATGCCCAGTATCCTCGGCTGTCTTATGCTGCGAGGATCAATCTCCGAGTACTAGACGAACTCCATGACTAGAACGAGAATGCTAGAGCAAGAATACTAGAGCAAGAATGCTGAAGCTGCTCTTTTTTCCTCTCCAGTGAGCCCTTTGTTGCAAGCTTGGAAATGCCGTGAATAGTTTTTCCTATTCACCATGGAACCACAGCTAGCACATTCCCTCAATTTCTTCTGTGGCTCCATGTTGTGAACCAGGGGGGTGAGGACTGGTGAGGACTAGCGAGGCGAGCTGGAGGATGAAGTGGTGAACAGGGTGGTGAAATATTTGTCGTCTAGTGGATAAAGGATGTTCCATTCCATCATGTGTTGTTTCCCTTTATCATATTTGTCTCTATCAGATCTGTAATATGGGGTGTTGTTGCAGTTTATCTCATGAATCTTGTTGGCATTGTGCCAATCTAGGCAATCATATGTCAGAGCATTCAGAATGTTAGGGAATCTGGTATAGATTTTGTGGGTTTTCCCAGGATTTGGGGTACAAAAGAGCTAAGTTGGTCTGATGCCCACAACTGATGGGAGGGAGTTGTGTGTAGAACATAGGGATTCTCTAACTAGGAGACTGAACACTGAGGTTCCCATGATCTGTGCAAATCATGTGATCCTTATACATTCCTGAATGTATAAAATGAGCTTTTCGGGCAACTGTTGGAAAACATTTATCCAACACAACCTGTTGAACCACAGATTGCAAGCTTGAAACTGTAGATCCACCATATATTTACAATACACATATAAAGAGTCCAAAACATATAGAATTCAGAATGTATGATGTATTAATTAAGGGTTTTGAATCTGATTCAGAAGCTTTTTAATTACTAGAAATTAACTACTAAGTGTTTACAGAACCACCTGCACAATCTGAATTATAATGAATTTTTTTTTTTTTAAATTTCAGGAGCCTTCTCACCAGTCAGAGTCTCTGGTTCAGAGACAGAGCATAAAGCAAGTACAGAAGAATTATTAGAGCAAGCTTATTCAGACTACTTGATTATACTTTCAAGCAAATCAGCTCTGCTATCTTTAGTTAAAGACAGGCCTGATACAGATAGATTCAGCTGTAACTGAATAAAGAGAGAAGATATAATCAGAGTGAAAAAGAAAAAGAGAGAAGTAGATACAGTAGAGAGCAGAGCAATAATAAATCAGTCTATCTTAACTACTAATTTATAAATAATTTCTTCTGTCTTTTGCTTTTTCTGTCATTAAATATTAAAGTTAGTTTAATTTATTCTGACATTATATTAAGTATACTGACTACAGAAGATAAATAATTAAACTTTAAGTTCCAGCAGATATTAGCTAAAATTCTTTCAATATTTTATATATATAACTGTATTAGTATGAGTTAAATATATGATCTCCAATCAGTTCAATCTATCTTAACAGAGTAGAATGTGTGCTTTACAAGCTCTTTTTATTCAGCTTGAATAAATACAAGCTTTTCCAACACTACTAAAGTGACAGCACCAACTTCAGCATTAAAAGAAGAGAGAGAAAGGGAGTTATTAGTTTAAACTGACAGAAATATTATTTTGACAAACATTTTACTGAGACCAGCAGCCCATTCCATCATACTGATTTTCAGTTCTTCTCAGAGTATTATATTCTTAAGTCTGAGAAAATTATTATGATCAGATAGCAATGCTGCCACTTTCTTCTACATTTCTAAAGAGACAGAAGCACAGACTTTTTTATCTTCTGTATAATTAATACAGATCTTGACAGTTTCTTGCTTGTGTAAACAAGACTTGTTAATGTACATTATATATACAAACATTAAACAGCAATCATAAAGTATATTGTCTATAGCAGACTCTTCTTTAATAATCAAGAGCTTTCACTCTGGCTTCTTTTTTGCAGATATCAGAGAGTGCTTGTCCTGAGCTGCTGCTAATTTATACATTTGCAGAGCTATTTTTTGATATTTCTGTATATATTGTTCTTTAGTTTGCTGCAGTTCCTTATTTCATTCAAAATCCACTACTTATCTTAATATTGGAATAGAGAGGGAGAGGCAACAAGAAATATAATGAGCTTAAGAGAAGAAAAAAAAGAAAAGAAGAGAAGAAGAGAGAGATTTTATATAAGAAGAGATTATTATATCTAGCATGTCTGCTTGATTATTTTGGATTTCCTAATCAGAACATGTCTATTTATATATTACTAAGTGCTAACTCATTTTGCTTAGAGCTTCTATAGCTGATTACAGCAAACAATAAAAAGATATATATTAAATATAGTGAAATTCAGCTCTTGCAAGCATTGATATAACAGAGTATTGCATTGAAGTCTAGATATCAAACTTCAAAATCTATTTTGAAGCACAAACTAACAGCTAATTTTAATTCAAGAAGACATTTTTTTATGTATTTAACTAGAATCTGTATCTCTTTCAGAACTTTGTGACCAGTTGTGGCTGGCACAGGTCTCTTTAAACAGATAGATCAATTTGTCACAGTCTCAAAATAATTCTTTATAATATTCTGCAAAGAATTCCAATTCTTCTTGTCTAAATTATTATTCTCTGGCTTCTACAGAGCTTGCACTGCCTGAGCTGGATGTAAATCAGATTTCCTGAACAGTATACTAGATATCAACTGGACCACATTCAGAATTCCTGGCAAAGTCTTAATATAAACAGTCTTTGACTTTCTTGGTCAGATCTTTTATCAGATAAAGTCATCTGAATTAACATCTCTCAGTCCTAATTTCTATATCAAGTAGTTCCAGAGCTTGAGTACAGAATCTCAGATATAAATTAACAGAGTAAATACATTCTGTTTCAGACTGTTGTTATCAAGATACAGCTTCACATATGCTGCTAAATTTACATATATCTCTATTGCTATAACTATCAGAGCAGAAATCATGATAATTAAGATTTATCATTAACTTACATTCAAAATACCATTTCTCTTGTGAAGCTAACTTCTCAAAATTAACACACAGCTTGACTCAGTAAAAGACTTTACAGAATTAATTTTACTTAAATAATCAGACAAAATAGCTGATTAGCTTTTGTTAATCAGTTATTTTATGGAGTCTGAAATCAGAATTCTCAGTCAAGCTGAGTTTAATATATTTCCTGACATGATTCTGCAAATGAGATCAGTTTATATTATAACTAGAAGTTTAGAGATATTGTTCTGATCTTCAAGCTACTCAAGATCTTATATTTTCAATCTTTACAGAGATCTGATATATGTCTGAAAACTTTACAAAAATATAAGTTATTCTCAGCTTTTCAGTTCTCAAGATTCAGCACCTTCTGGATGATATTCAGAATTGGGTCAGTATTTAATGTTGATATATAGGCCCATTGTACCCAATTTCATATCTTATACTTCACTACTTGAATCTGCTTTTCAATCTCTGTATAATCAGAGAACACTTCAGTTTGGATACTTGTATTTAAACTAAATAATGTCTCTTGAGTCTTTAATATGCTGTGTAATTGAAGTTATGGAAACATGCAAGCTGTTTTTTTTGGTGCTGGTGTGCTCTGTATCTCTGATATTTTAGCTAT